CACCCACACCCACACCCACACCCACACCCACACCCCACACCCACACCCACACCCACACCCACACCCACACCCTATTCATGGGTCCGATAGTGAAAACGCGGTTTTTCAGATGTTTTGACCATGTAGTTTGCGCTATTAAAAATCCGATTATACCACTGAATAGAGCTCATCAAGTTCTATTTGGACCAAGTTCCTGGGTGAATCGGGGCAGGATTTACTTAACTGGGTCCATGGATCTCATAGTGAGAAACTCGCTTTTTTGGAGTTTTTGACCGGAAAGTTTGTGCTATCTAAAATCCAATTATACCATTAGATAGAGCTCATCGCGTTCTACTTAGAACAAGAACAGACGCCTTGGAACAAGTTCCTAGGCGAATTGGGGCAGGATCTACGGTAGGAGGTTCATCGAACATAGGGTAAAAGTCAGTATTTTGGACTTTTTGACCATATAATTTGAGTTATAAAAAATCTAATTATATCATTTGGTAGAGCTCATCAAGTTGTACTTGGAAGAAGAATAGGAGCTTTGGAACAAGTTCTTGAGCGAATCGGGGCAGGATCTATGGTACGGAATCCATGACTCATAGAGTAAAAAGTCAGTATTTTGGACTTTTTGACTACATAGTTTGAGTTATAAAAAAACCTAATTATACTATTCGATAGAGCTCACCGAGTTGTACTTGGAACAAGTTCCTGAGGGAATCGGGGGTCAACTTCACTTACGTGTTTAAGCTCCTGAAAATTTCGTTTAGTTGGATGACCCTACACTTTTAGTTATTGTCGAGTGAATATAATCTGTAAAAGTATAAATTTAGATTAAATTTACTCCTATTAATTGATAATTGTGATATCTTTAAATTGATCGTCTATATGAGGATGGACTGTGTCATGCTGCATAACCCTTTATACCCCAATGGGTCATATATGACCCATTTGTAGAACGATCACAGAAAATAAAGAAAGCATGAGACTGAAAAACTCCTAGGACATTATTCGTAGAGAACTTCACAAGCTATCGATTGGTAAAAAAAATAATTTTTTTCATTACTCTGCCTTCGAGATATATGACTTACAAAATCAATAATTTTCAAAAAAATACAAAAATTCGAATTTTTTTAAACAAAATGTTCTCTACTTGCAGTCGATAGAGGTCTTTTGGAATTTCTGTGTGATATTAATCGATGAAGGAGTACACTGCTGAATTAGATGTGTTTCGAAAGCGTCATGATAACTACACGAATCATAATACTAAGAAACGCAAGTGACCATGTAGTCACTGTTATACAGATGGAAGGTAATCAAGAATAAAGTTAATATATGGGTTACAGACCTCAACTCATGAGAAGTCGAAGTAGTATTTATGATGGATTAAATTCCTCCACACGTTACAAAATGGCTCAGAGTAAAATAGGCTTAAATTTGACAATAGGTGTAAAAAAGCATACATTCTTTGATGTTAATTTTTATCGGTTCACTCGTTGCGTTTTTCCTATCACTTCAACAGTAAGAGATGGATGCTGCTTCTGTCCAGTCAATAATGTGGTCAAAGAAAAAAAATTAAGTCTTGTGATGCCGTTCAATTCTCATCTTCTACCACATGATTTTTATATAAATCAAACCGCCATACTCCAGGAACAGGACATTCGGTGGATTAGGCCGCACCATTGGTATATTCGACAGGCTAATACACTACCTATAAAGTTATTTTATCAGTGGCTCTTCTGGAAGCACTTTGGGGTGTAAAGGGATAATCAAACAAGTCCTGAAATTTTAATTAATTTAATAACAATATGTTTTTTTTTCGTTAAAAAGATTATATCACCTGACATTTAAGAATTCATAGTTGAACAGAATATTATAATATTAAACACAACATGTTTGTGTATTAAGTTGGAATTTTCCAAGCATCGTATGACTCATAAAAAGGAAGCAATAATACTCATTCGATGACGCACGTAATTTGATCATGTTTCGCTTGACAGAACAAGCAAATTATGTTTCTATCCTATTGACGATTTTTTTTCTATATTGTGCATTAATATATATATATAAATGCACACACAAACGTGTATCATCATCACTTATTTCTTTCATTGAATCAACAATGCCTATCATGATTTGTACATCATGTGGTATTCAATTGGCGGAATCATCAACATTTTATAAATGCCGTCAGTGTACGAATCATTTTGTTTGCATGACATGCTCGACGGAGAAGCATAACAGTCCAAGTAACCTTCTTCATACATTAGACAAGGTAAATATGAGGTTGCATCAAAAGGAATTGTATCAAAACAGTGCATGTGATCGTTTCTTCTAGGTGAATACTGAAATAGCATTGGTGACATCAGCACTATCATCAACAACACTTAAGACAGAATCCCGAAAGCTTGAAACAAATCCACAGGTAAACCTAGAGGAAATCTCATTTTGAAGTAAACTAAGAGCATCATCAATTCAAGTTTATTTTCATCTAATAGTTTTTGTTTTTAAGAAATTTTACCGAATTTTTCATTTAATTTTATAACAAATTGACTTTCTCTAAGGCACAGCCAACGTCGATTTTTACAAGCAAAGAATATTTAACAATGCTTTTTGCCTACTGTGATCATTGTTTAAAAGTGCTCGCATCTGGAAAAGACCTAATCTTTAACTGTGATCAATGTCCAAATAACTACTGTGTTTGTAATCAGTGTATTTCTCTCATGCCTCATAAACATCCGTCGATGCATACATTTTCAAGAGAAATATCAAAAAGAGAGCTTTTACGACGTGCTCATGATTTTCGACATTTAGGCATTATGTGTAACAATTGTGAAGAAGAAGATTTCTATGGAATACGATATCATTGTAAAGAATGTACATTCGGTTATAATTTATGTGAAAAATGCATTGATAAAATACATGAACATCACACATTTGAAATCATTCCAAATCCATGTTTACGTGCTCTTAATCTTGGTATACTTGCCAAACGAACTTTAGATGTAATTGCAAGAAATACTAATATTCATGATCACAAATGGCGTGATCCAATTACTGGATGGACAAAAATTGATGCTGAAAATATGGTTAAACAAACTCAAAAAGAACAAGACGAGTATAATACACAATTACAAAAGGTTGAAAATCGTAAAAAAGCCGAAGAGAAGCAAAGATTGGAAGAGCAACGAGAGTTAGATCTGATGGAGAGAGATAATCAAAACTTCATACTTTCATTGATGAGCGACAATGTCCTCTATCTTCCACGATATTGAAGAAAAAAGTCTGACATTTCTCAAGTGAACACATGAATTCATTATATTTTAATCAGTTTATTTAATCAAGCTTTTTCTGCTCGACGGCTATTTTTCAATATTATTTTCTTTTAGATATTTCTTATTATTCCTGGATCGAAAATATTAAAATAATCTATCAGTCAAAGTAATCACTATTTATTTTTTGTAAAATATAATAAAAGCAAATAAAAACATCTAATAAACGGTTCTTCAAATGGATTAACCCTTTTGCGAACGTTGTCAAATATGATAAAGGATATTTAGTTCTCTCCATTTTAGATGTTTCTATGCTTATCACATTTGTAACCAATGATTTTCAAAATTCTGCCTAATGAAATCGGATTAAGAAAAGATGGATTTTTCAAGATGATTTCGAAATTTTGTTTTCGAAGTGCCTTGCTTTCTTCTCCGTATAATAATACACTGTAAAAAAAAAGGAGTTCTACCAAACTTTGAAGGTTTCGCAATGGTTTTCGAAACCATTTTAAGTTCCGTGGGATGAAAAAGGTTTCGTAATCTTCATACTGAACCATTTTAAGTTCCGAAAACCGACGAAGGTTCCGAAGTTTCACGACGAAACCTTCCTAGAGTTTCGTGCACTGTGTACTGAACTTTCGGAGGTTTCGTATGTTTCGTACGAAACCGTTGATAGTTTTGTAGAGCATATAAAGGTTCCGTAGTAGTTCTATGTAACCTTTCATAGTTTCATAAGTGCTCTTATGGTTCCGAAGATGTTGCACGAAACCAGCCGTGGTTTCGTAAAAGATATACCGAACCATTACATCATTTACAAAGCTACGAATAGTTTCGTACAATTTATACTGAACCTTTTGATGTTTTACGAAACCTCTGATAGTTTCGTGGAGCAGACAAAGGTTCCGTATATCTTATACGGATCTATCAAAAGTTTCGTAAAACATGAGAAGGTGTGGGTGTGGATGTGGGTGGGTGTGGGTGTGGGTGTGGGTGTGGGGTGTGGGTGTGGGTGTGG